CCACCATCTTTAACTCTAAACCTCTGTTTTTTGCAGCCTGGGATTCTTAACTTAGGCAATGTCAAAAACATACAAACTTTAAAAAAGCAACCATCTGTAAAATTATAAATGTAATTTTAAAAACTACAAGTTCAAAAAAATTAAAACTATGAATTTAAAGATCTGATTGCAGTGGGTACAAAGGAGTTCTTCCATCTGTTACTTCTATTTTGTCACTTTAGTAGAAAACGAAACCAAATATTATTAGTTTATTTAGTTTATTTATTTCTTCATCATCAGTGACTTTTTTAAGTGAAAAGACGAAAGAAAATAAGAAAAGTGAAAAGAGCTGAAACTACAAATGTATGAAATATACTCAACAAGACCAAAAGACACCCCCCGACATCCACACCTCCACACCCACCAATAACCGCACAGACATATATACATAATGACATATTAATATTTTCACCCACATCTACATACATGCCTGTATGTATTATACGTACAAATGCATCCCCACACCCCCTTATGTGTTATGAGCATGCATACCTATCCAAGGTTTCTCCAATAGAATATTTAATAGYGACTGTGAAGAGCCCAAGACCCAGCCCCCAAGACCCGAGGCAGACAAAGAGGGGAGCCAGAGCCCGAGACCACAAGAGCAACCCCGAGCACAGAGCCCCCAGGGCCACCCACGCAGGACGAACCACCCACTCACCCCCCAGATTGGACCACAGGCGGGAACCAGAAGAGCCCCACGGGCAGCCACATGCAGAAACCCCCGGGGGCAGCAGTGACAAACCCATAGGCCCCTGCCGGAGCCCACCACACCAAGGAAGATCCAGGCAAGGGCACAGAGGACCGGGCCCCGAGGACCCCCCACCCCCGGGCCACGGCCCAACGGGACCAGAGGACCCGAGCCCTCAAGCAGTCACCGGGCCAAGCCGAAAAACGCCCAGGCGCCCAGCCCCAAACAGAGAGGGCCCCAAGCACGCCGGCAGGGAGGGGCTCATCCCACCAGGGAGCAGTGCAGCAGGGGGCGCAAAGCACAAAAACYCAGCTGTATGACAGAGGGGGCAGTCAAAAATCCAGCCTGACAAGTACTCAATCATACACAAACACATTCATACCATCCCACCCTCATCCTCACACTCATTCACTCAAAGACATACAATAACAACATGTAACAACATTCAAGACATGTACCCGCCCCCTGCAGGGGGCAGTCCATATCCGAACCTGGGAGGTAGACCCATTCTATCTGAGTGGAGAGGAAGATCCGACAGCCAAGATCCGACCCAGGGCCCGCCGGGCCGGCAGGCCAACCACCCCTGCCGCGGGGAGGCCATACCCCCAACCACCCCCGCACCCCACCGACAACCAGGCGCCCGCCCCAGGCCGACCGCCCGCTGAACCCCGACAGCCACCCCGGACAGGACGCCGACCACAGCAATCAGGAGCCATGGTCAGGGGGTCCAAACGGCCCCAGGGAGCGCGGAGCAGCTGAACCTCCCCAGCAACCCTCCGGGCCCCAAACCCCCCAGCAGCCCGGGTCCCCAACTGACAGCCCACCGCCCCTCCAGACCCCACCCCCGAAAGGGCAGTTGGGCAACGGGGGTGGGGGGGATTAATTAAGGGAAAAAAGGGAGACCCTGACACGCACACCCCACCCTCAACTGTGTTGTTGATGTGTGGTGTTCTATAATGTAATTTAAAGGGGAAAGAAGAAGGAGCAGAGGCCAGCATGAAGCTGGTTTTTCCCTCCACCCCGACTCTACGCCAGGAGCCCTAGATGTCTAACTGCAACCATTGRGAGCCTAAACCTCCRGCCAGAGGGAAGAAGCTGGAATTCTGTGCTTAAAGGGTGTTCTGAGCAGTGTAAGATAAGCCTTGCTTTTTGGACAATATGACTTTTTTTTACGTTAACTAGTATTTAGTTATTGAAGTTAAAATACATTATAATCATTAACTTTTCCTTTATTTCCAAAACTGCACGTTGAATAACTTGATTGGCTACACAGCTGGAGTGTCAGAATGAAGCTCAGCCAATCAATCACGTGTATGGACAGGTGTGACATGGGGGGATTGCCACACATTTTGGGCTCTGGAGAGTCTACAGATGAACCCAGTTGGTCAAAGGAGGTGTCAATTGAAAGAAGACAACCAATCAAAATGTTTGAACCGCTTATTATGCAATTTCAAAGTCCCTGGTAGACAATAAATAGGGAGGAAGTAACCACAAACTGGGAATGTACCGTGGGCAGTACATTGGGCAATCAACCTGAAAACTTTTCTTCTCTGAGGTAACTTTCTTTCATTGTGAAACCTGACATCTTGATCTTACGCCACCTGACAGGGCAAGACTGCAAACCCATTCATCTTCTCCCATCTTCCCTGTTTGATCCTACAGGCCTGGGACTTCAAAGCCTTAAAGTCTGTGGACTGTGGCTGTCCGTTCACCGTGCCAAACTGACAGCTACAAAGGAACTGAAATACACCCCATACATAAAATCTAAACAAACGCAGACAGAACCATATTGGTCCTTCTACAAACATGCTAATTTCATTATAACTTCTGTGTTTTGGACAAAAAAAAAAAGCCAGAAGACAGCCCACCAGCTCCCGTTTCTGCCAGTTTAGGTTGAGTTCGGACTAAACTCCACCATTTGCTGGCKTTTTCCCTTACAAAACAAGCTGTCCGATATTGAATCTCCAGCCTTATTCATACACTGCAACAATTAAAACATCAACAGCGAAGGAGAAAAATATGTACATTATTCATATCTGTCCTCCAGGGACGCTGGCACTCAGAGCTAATGAGAGGCGGAAGCTTTGAAGTCATGAAGGCTTCAGCGAGGTGAATGCCATGAATTAAGCACAACCATCAAACAGCGTTTGCTCGGTACGAATGGCTTCYAGACGACTCATTTGAACAAGCTTCATGCGTCCTCACTTGTCTATTTTCGGAGATTTATTCAGAAATTTGAACATAATTAAGTCTCCTCAACCCTGTTTTCCACGAGGTCAGGTTCAGCTGAGATGCAGCTTCTGTAAACAGGTAGGGAGCAGATGAAAAATGAACCGGACATTAATACTCCATGAGAATATATGTAGCAGCACAAGATATACTTGTTGTCAAGTGGAGTGGAAGGAATAAATACTGTATCTGTTGCACGACAGGGAGAGTGGGGCAAAGTGTGCTGGTGAGTGGGAGCTCTGTTAAATAGGAGAAACTCTGCCAGGCAGGCAGACTTAAGCCGTCAGTCTACCATCCTGACTGCGCCGAGCTGATAGGCTATCTGCCTAAACAGACGCCCGCTCCAAMCTCGCAGCATCCCTTTCTCCGGTCTCCTGCTTTTTACCTTCAGCTGCCTGCTGATGGTTTTGTCCATCACAGAGCTCAGTTTCACCCAGGCCTCCTTCAACAAGCGYGGCGCCAAGATAACAAAGACCCACGCTGACCCCGCTGTTAAAGAGAAGCTGCTTGCTGACGAAAAGGCCTGCGCGAGGCGAGACATGAYGTGACAGAGACATCCGGCGAGGGTAAAGATGGTGCGAGTGTTTGGCTTACCTCCACAGGGAGCTCTCCAACACCTTGGTGGAGTCAGCGTGGTAGTACTTGGTTAGGATCAGGATGACCTGCAGGAAAACAAGGAGGAGAATAATTACACTCRATAAAAAGGCTTCAAAAATAAGACTGGTGGTGAGTGAAATGAGAGCTGAAAAGCTGATTTTCAAAGAAAAATCAGACATAATGATGTAAACCTGTAAACAAGTTAATACTGTATATTCTGCAAGTTTAGAAACCTTTTTCACGTTGTATGGCAGGACAGGCTTTACTTTAAATAAATTAATCAATCAATAAATAAAACCATAAAAAGAGGTTTCTTCCAAAAAAGATTAGTGCCAAGTGTTTTATAGCAGATAAAAAACAGTATCAAAAATGGATGGATGGATGGATGGATGGATGGATGGATGGATGGATGGATGGATGGATGGATGGATGGATGGATGGATGGGTTAGGGCAAGAGTTCTCAAACTTTTTGGGTCTGGGGACCCCTTATAATGGCAAAATAAAATTCCAGGGACCCCCTCATAAACCCCATGCTGTTTTAAAAGATAATTTATTGTCATTTCAACCACTAAATGCCTTGGGAATGTATATTTTTATTTAGTTTATTATGTTTGTTTTATTAGTTCATTGTCCTCCATGCATTTTTAAAAATACAAACAAAATTAATAATTTGGTGAAATTTGTTGAGGTCCTGGGACCCCAGTTTGAGAACCTCTGGGTTAAGGGGATGACTCTCAGCTATTACACCAAGTTTTAGTTTAAGAGAAAGACAACAAGGTTTGAGTTGAATAATGTAAAAACGTCATCCGCAACTGTACAGATTTTCCCCTTTTTTGCCCTTAAAGGAGACATATGATTTAAAACCATTCTTTTTTACACTGAAATCATTCAGTTGGGGTCTAGATAAAATAAAGTGCAACGCTTTGGTCTGAATGCCTCATTGTAACTCCACAAGCCCCTCTTTCACCCCTTTTCTGAGGTGTGTTTGAGACCAACTCGTTTTGGTGCTGTCTCTTTAAATGCAAATGAGGCACATCACAACCCACTCACCCCCCACCTCCAGGTCACAAATTAATTCRAAGACCTCAACGAGGGATGACGTGTCCGTCCAGCCTCACATGTTAGACCCAGAGCCAGAGTTCTGCAACAAATTCTGTGACATTATTGTTCAAAACAAAAATAATAGAGAAAACCAAACAAATTAAAAAATTAATGAGCGGAACAGAATTTCTAAGCAGCACTGAGAGTTCTAATCATTTTTTGTGTTCTCTAAAGTCAGCTGGCCTTGGCTGCCATTTTGAACTGGGTTGGCTTCAAACATAAATGGCTATTAGATGAATAGCTGTTGTGTTGGGCATGACTTCAGCTACTTCCACACCAAACGGCAGCTCATTGTCAGCAAAACTCAACAACTTTTTGCCCTTCTTGTGTTTAGTGACATCAGTAAGCTGTGGAAGCCATTTTTATTGTGACTGACTTCAAAACCTATTCACTTGATGTGAAATCAATTTATTACCTGAGARATCTAGTCTCCTTTTCAATTCATGTATCTTGAGCAAAGGACACTAGAATCTTATACACAATTTGTTTAATAAGAGTTTTACACTATTTTTATTAGTTTTTAAATAGCATATTTCTCTTGATTTATGGGACAATATTTTAGAGAAAAAATGTGTACTTTATGTATTATTCATATAACTAAGACATCTTGCTTTAAGGTACAAGCCTTGTGTGCACAGGATCAGATGTGCTTGTCTTTCATATATCTCAGAGCTGCTGGTCCTGACAGCAAGGTCTGCTGGGATTTGCATTGCTATGGCAGGACTGCCAATGGGTCAGGCAGTGCTGTGAGGCCCAGAGGTGTGATTGACAGGCTGGTAAGGAAATCTATGTACTGGAGCACACAAAGAAGCCACGCCGACCTTCAGGCAGAGGTGAGTTGATTGGCCGGGGGGGTGCAGCTGCCAAAACAGGCTAGTTTAAAAAGGTGGCAGCCTTTGAGCCAAGCAACAAAATCTCAACAATAAGAAAACTCCGGATACATCTTAATGTGGACACCCTGTATTATTATAATGTATGTAGARATAGCATGGCTCACATTTTCAGGCTACGCTTGCCTCCATTTCTGTCAGAAAATAAAAGGCAGCCGACAGAGCACGAGGAAAAACTTTGATTGAATTGCTTGCAAGATGGTATAAAAGCTGTATTATTCACCTGCGATATGGATTCAGGCCAAAAAACATGTTCACAAATATGTTTACATTCCAGTTAGATCATCCACACAAAGTCAGGCTGAAGGTTTTCATATCACATACTGGTGTCTGAACAAAGCCACACGATTTCAGGCATTCAGGATGCAGTTAATTTATAGCAAAATGAAGACCTTTGTTGAATCATATTCTCATTAAATTAGGAGGTTTTTATACAAATTTGAGAAAAACTAGAAAACAACCACAGTCAGGRAAGACTAGAAGAGCATAAAAAGCTGAGACAAAAATTAATTAAAGATCCAACGAAAGCCCAGTGAAGTTCCATTCAACCTGATCTCTACACTAATTTTTAGACCACTTGTGTCAAACTTAAGGTTAACATTAACATTATTCAGCCCCAGTGGTAATAATTTAAATGTAAAATTGTTTAATTGTTTCACTTTTTATCACCGTATTTAGTGTGTTCTTTTCWTGACAGCTGGCCAACTTTCAAGCCAAGAAAATGAAGTTAGAATTTTTCATTAATCCGTGATTTAGATGTTGGAAGAACAACAGAGAATCAACTTTAATGTTCTTTTTCAGTATTTTTCTTCTTTTTAAAATCAAATAATAAGATTATTTTTGTGTGTGTGAGATTTGTCCTTTCTTAACTGATTTGTTGAACTCATTTCTAAGAAATATTACATTAGAAAGTTGCTGGTAGAAAGGAATGCAAAAGAAATGAATGCTGAAGATGTGCATTTCCAAATCTAAGCTTTATAATTGTCTGTTAATGCTACATAAAATATCATTTGGAAAAGGCAATTTGTATTTCTATAGGCATTATTTGTTATGTAAAATTTATAACTAGTATAACTTCGACACCCGTGCTTTAGACCCTTGATGAGGAAAAGATAATTTCATACAGTGTTTTTCGTACAATTATTCAAGAAGGGCGACCCACCCTGTCAACGGAACAGAATGCCCTGTCTACGATAATTGACCCCCGCCCCCTCGTTACTGCCAAAAGTTCTGCTACTTCTGTACAGGGAGTGGAGATTGTAGCCACAGAATAAATGGCTACAATATGGCATTAGTAAAGTAGCCCTCCACTACACCATCACGTCCAATAAGTACCCTGCCAAAGTCAATAATCCCGGGGGTACACCGTCATGGGTTTACCTCATGGTAAAGTTTAGACTTCGGTCACAAAGTTCAGAAAGCCACAGCAGAACACAACCTTCTGCCTTCATTAGTGTTTTCCATCAATCATTTTTCTTTTTCAGTGTGTAATTAGACACCTCTCATGTCTAAATTGTATGAGCGATCAATCATGTAACGCTGTCTGAGTCACACGGCACGTGGGAAGTGTTTCTCCATTGGTTGCTGGCCTTGAGTGACTCAACTGGTGTCTCTGGAAAGTGGCTGTCCGCCTCTGCACAGCTGTCCTCCTTCTAATGAGACACTGGTGCAAAGCTTGACACTTATCATGCAGGCAGAAAGTCCCTCGACAGAAGGATTAGATCTACCAGGCTGCACTATTAGTGCTCATGCCTCCTGAGCCACTTTAGATTTCTTGTGTCTTTTCAGTTTAATTCCTCAGTTGAATATCTTGTTGGTAAGGTTTGTGGGGCATTGTGGTTCTTTTAGATCTGTTTTAGTTAGTTCAACCACTCAATAATATTTGCATCTTTTGGTTGCAAAAACTACAACTTGTTTACCAGCTATCACCTCACTGAGAACTCAGGATGTTTGTATGTAGCATAGCATCTTGACAGCAAAACATAAATTGGTTTTGTAAGCCAGCAATCTTGTGATGGACTTGCGACCTGTCCAGGGTGTACCCCGCCCCTCGCACTGTGACTGCTGGATATGGGCACCAGTGACCCACGCAACCCTGAAAAGGAASAAGCGTGTACAGAAAATGGATGGATGGATGGATCAGATCACTTCTGCACTACTTCCCATATTTTATTCTTCATTTATAAAAAGTGTTTCGGCAACACTGTTCCAGCGAAAATGGTAAAATATCACTGACGCAGCTCTAAACAGAGAATGAACATTCTTAAACTGGCTAAAGAGTCTCGCAAAACTATTGATATTTTTCGTATCAACTATTGGAGCATAGAATAAAGGTTTGACAAAGACAGGATCAGGTTAACACAATGAAGATGTAAAAACAAATAATAATCTGTAAGACTTCTTTAAGAGCACCAGGTGATATAGGGCAGGTCATTATAACAGTCCTGTTATCTCGAGGCTGCAGCTTTGAGACGAGGTTGTGTCAGGAAGGCTAAACAGTAAAATAAATTGAGAGTTTTTTTAAAGGGTTTCTCATTGTCAGGGGCTGTTCCAGGGGCGGGGCCACAGGGGCATTGGCTCCAGCTGAAATCTGATTGTCCCCCTGAAGTGCCCCTGTCCTGTCACTCACCTGTCCCTTGCCTGAGAATGGTGATGGTGGATGCAGTTCCATATCCAAACACTAGTGGCGCTAATGAGTCAAATAGGAGAATCCAGCGTGAATCAGTCTTACAGACGTTCTTCTTAAGAAAATCTAAGCAATCTTGCAAAAAAAGTTTTTCAACTGACAAATGATGGCTGGATTTTCTTATATGCTGTGTGTTTGAAAGTATTTTATCTATGTACAGTAAATATACATGTAAAATTGCTAAGGATAATTTACTGTTCAAGCTTTTTAAAATTACGTCACATTACAAGTGTTTGAACATGTGACTGGTAAAATTACCAAAACCAGTGATTTGAGTGCTGGGATGTTGAACAAATACAAATACCCTTTTACGAATGTTGTGGCCTCTTTTTACTCAGAAAAATCCTAGATCCGCCACTGCTCGTTGTTACATCAATAAAGCAGGGA